GCTGCAATTCGTACCGTCTTTCTCCTTGAATGAGGATACTTCCAACGGGGAGATGAACCCTTGGGAACTCCTCGTAGCCCACTTTCCTATGAACAGCTCCCTCGTTCTGGTATCTGGAAAACGTGCAACATATGACAGCTACTAGGTTTTCAAGGAACATCTATCTTCCGTATCTGTCAGTAAAGATCGTAAGCCGTCTACCTTGTACCTTAAAATTCAACACAAAACTTCAAAAAACATCTAACAATCATCTGAAAGGTTAAGACGTCTTTTTAATATTTGTGTTACACGTGGAATATGCACAACTGTGTAAGACAGAACGTCTAATAATATTCGAAATATATGACAAATCATTATATATCATTATATATCATTAGGATATTTTTGTTTGAAAATTGTATCAGAGATTTAATCTAATAAAAAAATTTTCCTACAATAAGTTTTCCTAATATTTTTAGAAATTTACAATTTTGTTAATAAATCGCTATATAAAAAAAGAAAATTGAAAGAATTTGAAAAATATATCAGTTACAATATAACATTAGACACAAGAGCCTTAAAAAATTTTTATCTTTCATAAAAATTTTAATTATAATTAATATTTTCATGAAAATATTGAAAACCATGTTAGTTTGTAATTTAATTTCATTTTAATTCAAATCTATCTATCTGATTTTCCAAATAATATAAAAAAATAAATTTTTAATTAAAATTTTTAATTCTTCTTTAAATTTCGATAACTTTTTACTATTATTGTATAGCCGATACATCTTTAAATATTTATTTTATAAACCATATTCTACTGGCATTTTATCGATTAAAATTAAATTTATACTTTTGTTAGAATTATATGTTGGAATAATATATATCATATATTAATATTCGATTACATTTGAGAGAACCAGCCTATGTATGCAAGAAAATAATGTGCAGAGGTAAAGTTAAAACGAGATAAGAAGAGCCATGGTAGCTCATGGATTGAAAGTAGTACGAGTAAGCGAATAAATCGGACGTAAGGAGGTCAAGATTTCCCTCAATCCCTACTTTCAAGTAGATGATGGCCGTGTCGCAAAAGATGTGGCTTTGCAAAAGGTAAAAAGCTGTCTTACTCGGGGACGAATGCGAAACAGGTTGACGGTTACCAGTAAAAGCATCAAAACCATCTGTGTAACATGGTCACGTTACAGCCCGACTTTCGCGTAATTCGGGAGAAATAAAATTTTTTTGTATTATGTTCTTTGAATGGATTTATCCGTCTATTTCTACCTGAAATCCTAATTAATCTCTCGTTACGTGCACGTATTACGAGTTGATGCCTGGAGGATAATTAACAGAAAAAGCAGCGTTCCTATGCGGCTTTTCTCATCAATCGTGGCTTTTACACTTGCTTTCCTGCTAAAATTTCAAAACAAGTTTCTCAACTTTAAGTTTACGCTTGTAAATTTACAAGTACAAGTTAAAGATATATATATATATATATAGAATTAAATTTAAAAATCGTAAAAATAAGCGGTTATGCGAAATAAAAATTTTGAGCGTTAATAATTCTTCCTCCCGAGAAATCCGCATGGCTTGGCGAGATTAGATCGTAATATATACATGTGCTCTGCCCTGCATTAGACGTTGATATTAACTCGGAGTTAAATCGCGAAACGTTAAGTGGAAATCCTTACAATGCAGTCGGGCGAGAGCCGAGCTCCGAAAATTCTGAAATTCTGACATTCGGGATGCATACATTTCACGTATGCGCGTATTACAATAACATACGTAACTTAACGTTCATCTCGGAATTAACATGTGTAGAGCGGGCAAAAAGCACGTTGAGGAAACACGTCAGGGACATTTCCTTGATGTCTAAGGGGCATCCTACTAGAGAGATGGCGAGATTCTGCTCTGTTCCGCGTGCTTCTTCCTTTCTCTCCCTCAACCTCTTTCTCTCTCGCGCGCTCTTTCGCCTTTGGCGGTAACAATGTTCCGGCGAATTGCAACTGCCTGCTACACGTACACATCTACCTACAAGAATGTGAATACAAGACAATGTATGCTTGAGGTCGAGAAATGTCTTTCTATGCGAGACGGGCCAGTTGCCTGAGTATCGTAAAAATTCAGCGAAGAAAACTTAAACTATTTTTTGAGAGATGGAGGAATATTATAATTTCGAGCGATAAATATCGCGATATGTCGCAAAGAGAAAAATTTGATTGTGATCTACGATAATAAAAATTATGATTAATATTTCCGGAAGAACGGAACGGAATTTAAAGTCGATAATATTTCGATAAAATGACGTTTTATCGCTCTGCCATTTCTCCCAAAGGGAAATATATTTTATTTGAAAGACATTTTCAAATTTTTGACACGCCAATGTAAAGTTGCAGGTGACGAGATAACCTGCGTGAAATCGTAAAGGCAGAGGAAGAACAATAGGAACGGAAGTAAAAGCGACGAGGGGAAGAAGCGATGTGGCGAGAGAAATGCGATCGAATAGCGGGAGGAACTTCGTTCTGAACTTTATCTTTGAAGAATAGAATGGAGGAATTGAAACGTCGGATGTGTACGTACGGCAGACCGAAACGAAAAACACACTCGGCATTTCTTTCAAGGCAAGATCAAACTCGGATCCGATCTCTACAAGAAAGGCTGAAACTCCATTTGAACGAACAATAATCCACGGCACGGCTTTCACGCGTCTACAATTGTACGAAGAACAAAAAGGTGGAACGCGCACTCAGCATTTGCCTCGTATTATTGCCTTGTAGTTTATACAAGGGCAAATTTTATTATCGATATTACGATCTTTACGACTGTAAGCATCGTAAATGCGCTCGGACGTCATCTTCGGACGCAGACGCGTTTGTCTTTGTAATATCCGCCGCTGGCCCTTAAAAACGAATAGCCTGTCGAACTGGGTCACAGCGAAAAAATATTTCCTTGCTCATTAATTTTATTACCATCTTGTTCTATATCTCGAGCGAAAAATCTTGTCAATTTCCACGTCGCTTATGCGGCCACGACGGCTCATAAATGTATTATTCTCTTCACAGATCGCATTAATGCGCAGCCAAGCGGAAAATTTCAGGCCGGATTTTTATTCAAAATTACAAAGAGAATTCATTCCAACATTTTAACATCTCTCTTGTGAATATAAAATTATATAAAAATCCACATCCGACATCTGATCTATTGTTATTAAGACCATTAGGGAATTTATGCGAGAATTCGCATAAATATGGAAATTTAGAGTCTCCATCATTATCGTCATCATTATCCATCCTTCTCACATTTCGGCCGTTTGCCATCGCGAGCAGGCATGTACCAAATCACGAGGAATTCAACTTATTGCAAAATTTCTGTAACGTTACACGGCAACTTTATCTGCGATCTCATCTCCTAACTTCTCAAGAGAACGTCGGCTTGAGAACTGTCGAACATGCCAGCCGGGGGGGCGTAAGGATGGAATCGCTCGCGATGGCGCGACTCGAAGAGTCACGGTAATTTCACAGAGAGGAGGAACACTGAACCTGACGTACAACCGTGATTTGACCTTAAGTCGTCTCGCCGAGGATAGCCTGACTGCTGGATATCAGAAAGTAGGATTTCGCGCTGCCGCTTTCATCGCTTTATTGTTCGAACGACGAGCCAATCCTTCCAATCCTCCCGCACGAGTCTTCCGTCGAATTGCGGAGAGACACGCTTCCCTCTCCCCCCCCCCCCGGTGGTTTCCGTCTCTGCTTCCTCCCGACAAGCAATCTTCGCTCGTATTCAGTAATACGGATTTTACGATTTGATCTGCTTCTCTCTTTCCACATTTAGCGCGCTCTCGCCTTCGGCGGCCCTTAGAGCTTCGGCCATCCGGAGCGGTGCATCAGTCGCGCAAACATGATTTCACTCTATCGCGACTATGATATTATCGTTAGGTCCTATCGCGTCTCTCCTTCGCGTCTCTTCTTCCTCACTCGAGACATTTTTCCCCTGGGGGTGCACTCCCTCCCCCTCCCCTCCCCCCCCCCCTCCTCCTC